TGGCTAGATCTTCCAATCTCTCTGTTCCTTCTTTAAAGGAACGCACCCTCTTTCCTCTATACCTGTCATCATTTTCTGGCTACAGCTGAGGGAATCTCAAGACTTTACTCATTTGCATCTTGAAAACTCCATCATGCCAGCATGCCTTTCTTCTGGGGAGAGTAGAAGGATGCTCACCACACTGAGCCAACCGTCCAGTGTTGTGAAGCTCTTCTGCGGGTGAGGAGGGGAGACAAATCGAGGCCTCCAAAGCTGTATCTTCTCGGTAATTCCTCACATGCTGCACAGCCTTCCTGTCCCTCAGGGCCTTTCTCAGGGGAATGGAATGAGCCAATAAACAGGGTAACTGAATTCACTTTAGGCTCTTTATGGTCAACCCACGGGTATCCATCTTCTCAGTGAATTGCCTGGATTACGTCTTCTCTACTTTCTCTCTGGCTGCTTCCTTTGAGCCATTTCACAGCTCCTACACATTCACCAACAAGCAGCCAGATGAAATAGAAGGCAAAAGGCAACCCATCTCTTGGGAGATTTCAAAAGTTCCGGTCAGGCGAATGTGGAAGCTATTGGCTGATGTGACCTTTGGGGATTATCTCTGTATTTCAAATATCCATAAGTACTCTTCCACCAGCTTGGATAATTGATAGCTCCTATGCCTTCTTTTGAGGATCACTGGTGGCACAGTGGTTGAGTGCTCAGCTGCTAACTGAAAGACTGGTTTAAACCCACCAGCTGCTCTGTGGGAGAAAGATGTGGCAGTCTGCTCCTACAAAGATTACAGCCTTGGAAACCCTATGGGGCAGTTCTACTCTGTCCGATAGGGTCGCTGTGAGTCAGAATCGACTGGACAGCAATAGGTTATACCTTCTTTTGATCGTCCTAAGTCTTGTGTTAGTCCACACCAAGGGGTTAATTGGTATCTTAGATGAATAACCAATGGTCTGTGACCACTTACAGAGAATTCCGGACAGATTCTATCACAGTCATAGGTTGCTAATTATCCCCACATACATTTCTTTGTCCTGTGGTTGTCTAACAAGTGAAAATATCCACTGTGAATATTTCAGCTCTACAGCTGACATCAATATTGGCCATTTTGAGATTTATTTTCTCATTAAAAAAAAAAAGTTATACATTTGAGACCACAGTTGGGAATGGACACAATTGCCTTCCAGAAGTGCCATTGCTACAGATGGGACCGGGGCAGCTTCAGGCTGGTTGTGGCCAAGTTTGGAGGAAGGTAAGAATTAATGGTGTAAAAACATGGCAAGGGGTCTGTTGGGCAGGGCTTGACTGCTTAGCACCAGTGACCTCAGTGGAAGCGGTTTCCTTTGCCTTTGCTTTCGAGGTCCTCATCCTCTGTGAGAAAGCTCTATGCATCTTGACCTTTGATGACTTCAGAATTTCTGGCAGCTGCTGGAACCAGGGATCATCTTTTCAGAGATCTGCTTGGCGTCATTCCGTGACTTATCTTTCAGGCCTCATCACAATTATTCATGCTTTGGCAGTATCCTAGCTACAGTCACAGTATTCTTCTTGGGCTGATACTGAAGGTTACTCTGTCCCAGCTGGTGGAAAAGGAAGGTAACCATCTCCTCAGGACCCTGGCTCCAGGGCTAATGTTCCCCTCCAGAGCAGGGGTTTAAAGACATCTGTTCAGAAAGGCACTCAACCTCTAGTCCTTGTGAAAAGGCAAACAAGTGGGGATAACACAAAACAGTAAATGGTCCCCAAATTGTGGAGAATTTGGCTTTGGAATGCATTTCAAGGCACACTCGCTGTACACTTGGATACATATTCATACGAACTCAAATGCTAAGCCCCACCAGCTGTCTCTGGACTATGAAGCAATATAAAGACCCAACCCTTTACTTCTATATTATGGGTGGCAAAATATTTTCTGTTTTTACTCTCTCTCTCTCAATATCCTGCTTCTATTCTGTGGCCCGTGCTTCCTGCTTTATGTATTTTAGGTTACTTTAGACATGACCTCACATCCTGGCCAATTGCACAGTAGAGCTTAATTGCTAGAGCTTTGCTAATGGCCCATACATCTATGCATGAGGGGAATGGGTTAGAAGCAGCAAAATTCAGAAGGTAATAAGCTGGCATGGCTAAGAGCTGGGGCTCTGGAGGTAGACAGACTTGGATTTCAATCTTGGAGTGGCTGTGTTTTCCGGGGTAACTTACTTAACATCTCTGAGCCTCAGTTACCTCATCTGAATGGGAATCATAATAGCTCCGTACCTCATGGGGTATTGATGATTAAAATTGTATAATGCATATAAACTATTTGGCACGATTCATGCTATTGGTATTACTATTATTCCAAGCTTCTAAATTATAAGGCAGCTTTCTCTCTCTAGAGCCCTGGTGGCACAGTGGTTAAGTGTTTGGCTGTTAACCAAAAGGTTAGCAGTTCGAATCTACCAGCCCCCCCCTTGGAAACCCTCCAGGGCAGTTCTATTCTGTCCTATAGGGTCGCTATGAGTCGGGATGACTCCACGGCAATAGGTTTGGTTTGGTTTTGGTTTAGTGTCTATACATTCCCGAGATCCTGCCTAGCCTGCCCACCCACACCCCCCTGACCGATCACTTCCTCCAGGAAGTACTCTTTGATTGAGCAGAATGTACACTAATGGAATACACTTTTTCTCTATTCTTTTACATTTGTCATGTATTTCATGAAGGTGTTCACATCTTCAACTCTCACACTGAGCTTCTCCAAGGCCAAGAAAGCTTGCCTTTCAGGAGTATCTCAGATGTCACATACTAGACGTACAATTAAAGCTTCTGACTGCCCAGAGAGAACCATCCCCAGCCCAACCCTGCTCTAGAGCCAACCCTCTAGTACAAAATCCCCAGCAAATGGCTAGACATCAGAACAAAGTGTCTCCTTGGGTTTGCAAACCTTCTCATTCCATTACAAAATAGCTTTATTGTACATCAAAGCACCGCTTTTACGGTAGCATATCTGAAGCCCATCTGAGGATAGCACACATAGGCAGGAAGCACTGACATTTCCCTCTCCATGATATTTCCAAAATCCATTCCTTCCCTCTCTGCCAAGACTTTCATCCATGCTCTAGTTATTTTCCACATTACAGAATTTTCTATACTCTTTCTTTTCGGAGCCCTTCTTTACCACTTGTTATCTCACTCCTCTCTATTCACAGCATCATTTTCCCTCCTCTGTGATCTGTTGTCTTAAATCCCCCTTGGTCCATACACAACTTTAACACTCACGTCACCATCTGTCTCTTTGTTCCCTGCAGTCCACTTAGACCGTCAGGTTTTCTTCTTGTTACTCTGATTTCTCGGGAGTGTCCAGAAGTGGTCACTTCTTGCCAGGTCTGGGGATTTCTACGTGGAACTTTCCAGACGCCCTGTACATTAGTGCTTCTCACACTGCTCTACTACATCATTTCTGCCTCTATGGGTAACTAGCGCCTTGTGGACGGGGATCATCTATTTAAACTGAAACCCTGTCATTTGTTATGGCAGTTTTATTTATGAGCCTGTATGCTGGAACCCCGTGGCATAAATATTAAATAACATCTCTTGGATGAAAAAAATCACTCATGTTAACTGACAACTTCTTAAGAAAATATGAAGTAAATCTGACCACAAAATTTGGTATTGGGTAGTTTTAAAACATGAGGAAAAAGCATGGATTGCTCAACAGGTAGATGAAAAGGCAGCATTACAATTTGCCTTTTTACACCTTCTTACTTCAAGAAATGAAATACCCAAGGTGTAAAGAGCGTTAAAAGAAACTTGGGCTGGGTGGCAAATTTCTTCAGAATCAAATTCTAATGTCTGCCAGTATCTCCTAAGCAGTTTTTAGCCTCTGAGAGGAAAGTCTCCCAATAATGACAATGTCACATAAATGAAAAGAACTCTGGACAATGACAATGATCAGTTTTTTTGTTTTTTTTTTTTTAAAGCATTCTGTGAATTTCCTATTACATCAGTTTCATGATTCAGCATTTTCCATTTCATTTATTTACAGTAATATACGGTGAGATAACCCAAGGTTTCTGCAGGATCCTGGAACATAAGGTAGGTTGGGCAAGGAAGGGTGTCACCTTCTGCAAATTTACTATTGTTTAGGAGAATTCAAAACAGAAGAAAGCAAACCTCGAAGGAATTGAGAAATATTTCCCCACCTTGTTCTGAGGGTCTAAATTACACTCGTCTTTAAAACGACTAGGCTTTGAAAAAGACGTTACTACCATTTCGTTCATGACTAAAGGAGAAAGCAAGAAGTGTGAAAATTGTAAACCGACATGCCGAAGCCAAACGTATTCTCTGAAACGACAAAGTAGAAGACGCAGCTAAAGTCACCACTCCAGCGGCAAGCGTGTTACAAAGAACTAGATTTCTTTCTGGCATCTGCAACTTGGTTGGAGTGACCAAGGAGGAGTTGAAGGAGCGCTGGAAATACGAGGCTCATCGCGAGGTGCATAGGCAGTAAACGGTCTGACTCGTGAGGACCCGGGGGAAACTAAAAGGAGGGTCAAACCTGGAGGCTGGCACAGAGAGAAAGCGACGAAGTTGGGCACGGAAAAGAAAGGAGCTGAGAGAAGACTGAGAGGGAAGCCCGGGAGGGATGGGGAGGGGGGCTGAGAGCCGTGCGCGGCGGGGCGGGGTGGGAACGCTGGGTGTCTACGCTCTCAGGTGGAGTAGGAGAGAGAAAGGAGGCTAGAGGGGAATCTGGCCCCGGGCTGGAGCGAATCTGGGAAGCAGAGGAAGGGACACCAACGAGAGCGCAGCGCGGCAAGTCCGGTCCACGCTCCTCTCTCCGCGCCCCGGGTACCCATCCCAGGTGCGGGGAGCGCCCGGAGCCCAGCGGCGAGAAAGCGAGAAAACTAGCAGCGGCACCCCGCCCGGCATGGCTGGGGTCCCCGGCTGCCTCCCCCCACCCCCACCCCCAACAACAACCCCAAGTCCCGGGGGCCCCGCGCAGAGGGGAGGACCCGGGCAGGGTCGGCGCTCACCAGGTAGCAGAGCAGGAGCAGCGCGCAGGCAGGGCGGCCGCCGAGGCCCGGGGGTCCGCCGCCGCTCGGAGGGGCCATAGCTACGGCCTGGGGGGCGACCGAGGGCGGCGGGGGGTGCTGCTTCTGCTGCCGCGGCCACCCGA